TAGCTGTTATTGGCATGAAACAGCTAAATGGTATCTGTGATGTTAGCCAAGTAACGTGACTTTTCGAAGATCTAACAGTCCAACAGCAAACTGAATTAACTGTCCAGAGGGGGTCCTGGAGTTTGTCCACAGTGAGAATATCCATTCAAGTATGGTGGGCAGTCTTGCTCAAGTCTCAAGTCTTGCTGTATGCTGAGATATGAACTGCTGCACAAAGCTGAACTGGTCTCCAGACCGAGGGAGACAAACTGAAGACTGAAAGAAGAGCTGGTGGTCAAATCTGTCCAAGGTCACTAACATCAACTGCAGCCTGACGGAGGTGTCAACCACACATTTGGTCTGTGATGGTCATCTAATCACAGAACATAAATTTAACTATCATCTTTTTAAACATATAAACTTTAACTATCATCTTTTTAAACATATAAACTTTAACTATCATCTTTTTAAACATATAAACTTTAACTATCATCTTTTTAAACATATAAATTTAACTATCATCTTTTTAAACATATAAACTTTAACTATCATCTTTTTAAACATATAAATTTAACTATCATCTTTTTAAACATAAACTTTAACTTAATCATCTTTTTAAACATAAACTTTAACTTAATCATCTTTTTAAACATATAAATTTAACTTTCATCTTTTTAAACATATAAACTTTAACTATCATCTTTTTAAACATATAAATTTAACTATCATCTTTTTAAACATAAACTTTAACTTAATCATCTTTTTAAACATATAAATTTAACTTTAATCTTTTTAAACATGTAGTGAACTAAGCCTCAGGTCAAATCTGGCCCTGAGGGCCTTCCTGGGACAAGAACTGTTACTTCATTGATTTGAGTCCAGAAACACAAAATTAAGTTCATCCAGAGACTTTCTAAGTGTGTCCTGCACTGATCAATTGAAAGAACACTCTCTTTTTATTATCATTACTATTTTACAATATCTTGATAATCAAAAGTGTGTTTAGTTCAAATCATTTTTAAATGTTGAAGTGAACTACTTATTTTAAATCAACTGTGAAACAGTATTAATGATTTTTAATCCTCATTCAAAGTAGAAATCTAGTTAATGTCTGTTACAGAGTAATTATTCATTTTCTTGATCTTCTGTCTGAAATGAGCA